AAAATTCCAACGTCTTGTTTAAAAAAGGACAATGAGATGACCATCGAAAAATAAATTAAGCCTAATACCAACGTCTTGCGCTTATTTGCAAATTATACCACTAATTAAAATTTATTTGCAAATAAGCGCAAGACGCCGCCATTGTTAGGTTTATTTTCTTTTCCGATGGTCATATTATTGCCTTTTTATAATCAAGACGTTGCCTTTTTCAACTTTATTTTCCTTTTCGATGGTCATATTATTGCCTTTTTATAATCAGGCAATATTAAAAAAGCATTTTTCTCCATCGAATAAACAGTGCGTTAAGTATTTGCAAATTATTTTTATTTGCTAATAGCTTACGTATAAACGTAGTATATGTTGTGTAACAATTTCATAGCTGTACCAATTATCAGTAGCTCACTAGAAAAAAAAATATATATCTATTAATTTTTATTATGGCGGTATATGTACTAGGGATGAAAGTCAAAAAAACACATCCTATTTTTTTCCATTTGATGCATCGAAATATCGTATAAAAACATCGGTATTTTCGATGGATCAAATGAAAATATCAAGTTTCTTTCAACTAAAAATACACAAGAAAATGAAACAATTGGAGCTTTGATAAATGTTTAAGTATTAACTCACGGTGAAATGTATTTATTGATTTAAATATCCACAAAAGTCTTTTGCTCTCTTGAGAAGCTTTCGAAAAAAGTTTTCGGAAGGTACTGAAGTGGCGACAATAAGCATAGTAAAATAATATATGTCAAGGGTGCCAGTTAGCAATGAGATACCACTTCGGTACAATTTATTATCATAATTTTTTCTTTCATTTGATATTCTTTTGAGTGAGAACTTACTTATGAAGTTTTCTGATTTGAGAAAAATATTAAAAAAAAAAAAACATGTCAAGAAATTCTTGCCGCTTGTGCAATGTTCCTCACGATGCGGACCTAAGCCGAAATCGGTCAGGGGTGTGCAACAAAACCAAATGCCAGAATTGAAAAAAGCGACAAACTCAAATTTTGCTTTGAAATAAGGGTATATCACTATATTATTTCACTGTGTTAATAAGCTATGTGAAACAATTTTGAAAACTGCTGTTAAAAATCTGCCCAAATTTTCAAATGCTTTTGGAGTGTCAATATCATATCAATTAATATCATTTTGTAAATGGTTGATTGGCACTAAACGTTTCTACTAATAAATTAGCAATTTGTTAGTGCAAATAAATCATACTTTTTGCATAATATTAATAGGATGTATATTATAATTGTGTATAAATCGTGAAATTTCTACATTTAGAATGGTTACTAGACCAAGGAGTTTGGAAGCATACAAAATAATTTTAATAAGTACAGCGTACATTACACACAAAAGTCGATGCATCAAAAAAAACCATCGATATATCGATATATATCGGAAGGTCCAAAATATCGATATTTTTTCTGCATCCCTAATATGTATTAAATTCACAACTTTAAACCTGTTTTTCTAGTTTTGGATTTTTTGGGTTATGACAGTATTGAAGCAAATAAGCGCTATATTCATTTACATGACATTCATATTGGATATATGTACATAGAAGTTAATTTTCGAACCCAATATTTATTGACAAAGTTTTTTTTTAATTTCTATGTAATTGAAGGATTACATAGATACATAGGGATTTCCCGATTGAAATGTTTGTGTAATGCTTAAAAAAGTTATTACTTGGAAAAGTTTTTAGCTTGTCAATACTTTTTAATATTTCCGATCTTTACTCGGTACTTGTCAAAATGTATAGTTCTCGATACTACTCAGTACTCACGAAAAGTATCGATATTCTGTACTCGGTACTTGTATCGTTCTATCACTAACTCTGGCGCATTACGTCATCGAGACTTCATGGTTAGCTGCGGCATAAACTGGAATC